ATGTTTGGCACTGAACTTCTTCTTTTTTGCAGCTTTTGCTTTGCCGTTTGCCGTTTGGCTCTTGCTTTTCTTTTAGTTGCTTATTTTGCACACTATTTTTTATCTAATCTCCGTTTTCCTTTGCCTTCTTTCTACGCGGCAGATAAGGGGGGCTCACAGCTCATATCAATTAATATTATGGTTTGTATTTGTATTTCACTGCTCCTTCTCCTCTCTCTAATCCCCTGATTCTTCTTCTTTCGCTTAAAACGCCGCACGGAACACAAAAACACAGGCACAAAACAGCGAACAATTCCTTGTATCCCCTTTGTTTAATATAAAACAAACATTAGTTACACCTTTAGTTACAAATAACACTACTTTTCGGTTAATTCATATTTAGCGGCCCGAGTTTCGCACAATTATTTTGATTTCGTCCGAAACTTCTGCTTGTGAACTGTCCGCGACGCGCTTTGGGGGTTTCAGACATGTTTCGACATGTTCGTTTTGCACGAAAGACGAGACAACAAAAATAACACTACTTTTCGGTTGATTCATTGTTGTCAACCGGTTATGACGACTAGTTCTTGGTTAATCTTTCTTCCGTCGAATATTCCCAGCTATATAGATCTCTCAATTTGGCCCAGATAATTTTATATGATTGCTGAATCAATTTTGATCAGGATTAACTACTTTTAAGTACTTGCATGTTTTTTGTTTTGACAAAAACACGATTTTAACAAAATGTTCAATAGTCGCAGGTTGTGACGTCAATGTTGCAGACTCATTTCTTGTCAACCAGAGTGTGGCCATTAGTATACCCTATTTCGTGAATATTATATAAAGACACTGTTTTCCAGCCTGCATTCAAATGTAATTAGTAAAGGTCTTGTTTTAGATTGCATTTTTTTGGTCTATTCATGCATTCGATTAGGTGTTTGTAAATAAATCCTGATCCCTACACCAATTCTTGGTCTCTGTAGACAGACGATGAGCTGCAAAATATCGTTTAAAACAGAGACTATCCAGTTTCTGCATTAATTAGAGCCTGCAATGACAAACGCATTCACAACTCTATAACATCCATTGCCCCCAGGGTATGTGTGCATGGAATTAGCAACATGTTTGTGTTTGGAATGGGACTCATTGTTGCAAAGGCGAACCCTCAGAGCAGCACCGAAATATACCGTCTCATTTTGAAAATATACCGTAAATATACTGACGAATTCAAGTTATATTTTACATGTTCCTTGTTTTTGATATTCCGTCGAATATGACTAGCTACATAGAGTTTTTAGCTTTGCCCACTTAGCTTTATCCCATCGATGAATACATATTCTACAAGATTACATCTTTAAATTGCCTTTATGTATTTTATTTTGACAAAAAAACGGTTTTCAAGTAAATGTTGCCTCAACATTTGTGTATGGAATGGGACTCATGCTGCAAAAGCGAAACTGCGCGAATAAAAATTTTGGTCAAGACCAGTGTGACCCTCAGAAAAGCACCGAAATATACGGTCTTATTTTCAAAATATACCGTAAATATACTGACGAATTCAAGTTCTATTATACAATTCCCCGTTTTTGAAATTCCGTCGAATATTACTAGCTAGATAGAACATTTGACCATGCCCACATAATTTTATCCGATCAGTGAATCAATTTTCTACTTGACTGGGTTATTCTAAACACTTGCTTTTATTGGATTTCTATATAAATTTGAAAAAAAATTTAGATTGATGAATAGATGGCACCGATCGCTGGTGGTGGCAGTTCCTCGATAGCAAAATCCATGTAGAAATTCAATTTTGGTGGCGCTCTTACTTTACACGTTGGAGCTAACGCTAGGTGTCGTGTTGTTGACATCGGCACCTGGCGTCTTTATTTGGTGGTAACAAAAATTGCATAGCAACCACCTTTAATAGTTTTAGTTTAGCCCGCTAAGAGTTTCACAACAGCCAGCTTTAATAGTTGAAGAGGTTGTAATTGTTCATGGAGAAAATAATTCCGTACTAATAAACGAAATAATAATGCACAAACAAAGTAATTCATAAAATAGGGTTAAAGAATTTATTAGTCTTGGGAGAATCCAATCATCATCGAACAAATCGTGAGGATACATTCGTTTCTGCTCCAAGTAGTAATTAGTTGAATGCATCAAATCCAGATGTATAGGGAGGGGCTTGTCATCACAATCTTAGATTATCATTACATAAATTGTTGGGTATATATCAGAGGTATTTCAAAAACTGAATCTCCTAAGAGCCACCAGTACGAGAGACACCCAATTGCATTTTTTTTTTTTCATACAAAGATAATTACAAAAAACAGAGATAAATCTTACACAAATTAAACTTACATTAAAATAAATTTACGAATTAAATACCAGCTAAAGCCCATACAGATTATATTTAGAAACGAGCATGCACCAGATTTGCTTAGTACTTACGTACCCGTGGATGTTGCCTCAGTCCTCCCCAAAGATCTTTTGCGTAACTTTTTATGGGTCTGAAATGCTGCTGTGCTTCTGGTAGAGTGTGCCTGTACCGGGTGCTCCTCCTCCCTGACTTCTCTACAGATAATGGTATGAACGAGAGATCGGGTTAAGTCCCAGAGTCTGGTCTGGGACAACTTTGCTTACGTATTTTGTGTTTTACAACATGTTTGTGTTTGTGTTTGCTCCCGCAATCCGCTCCAATCCGCAGATAGATGCGTTTGCAGTGGGTGCTAAATATAACAATTCTGATAATCATCGCCCCATCATCATACTCGTATCTATGACAAGTTCTGATAAAGAAGAAGGTCGTTTTTGAACGCTCCTATCTAACAGATCGACAGTGGTTGGACACTTTTGGGTTCCAGATTCAGACTAGTTTTACTCTTTAAATATTTTACTTTGCACTCACATGATGGAGCTTGGGATCTTGACATTATCTTATCGGACGTCTAGGCACTTGCAAAACAAAGTTATGAACTCTTTTTTCAGGAAGCGCCTTAAGACTTAGATATAAAATTCATTATAGAGTAAATTCTCTAAGGTTAGGCTGGGTCATTGGGGCATAAATTTGGCAGAACCAACAGCGGACACACGACTTTAAAAAGTCCATTAAAAATTCCCCGGCGCGTTGCCAGGGCCCACATATCGCGCAATGAGGCACCCAAAACACGTGCCCTGATCCCAATCAATCACTCGTTTTCGCTTCCCCATGTAATTTCCCATATCAGTTAATGGTTTTCTTTATCCACAACCTTTCCCTTCCAGCAATTATGCTTCAGTGTTCACTTCAGTTGAGTTCGGTCTCTACTGCGATTCGCAACGTTTGAAAAACTTTTTGCTAATTTCGTCAAGGAAATGCATAAAACTTTTGGGATTTTGAGACTATTTTCGAGTTCTATTCGCGTTGAGAGTGTGAATCGTGTTCATGTGGAGTGTTTCAAGAGGAGAGGAGTGTTTGTCACAGCCTTTGAATACGGCTGATGCGGAGAAGTTCTAGATAATGTATGAAAATAGACTATATAAGGGGGTTAAAGGAGGTTGGAAAAAGTCATAGAAATATTGAGACTTTCTGTCTAAAAAATCTACCTGAAAAAGGATACTTTTGAGAGTGATTTTTGGAAGGCACATATCAAAAATTGTTATAATAAATCCTTATAAATCCCCAAAAATCTCGCACCAGCATGTACTGTCATTTGTTTCTGTAATTCATTTGATATGCGTCTGATTTAACATCAAAAGTAAGTCTAGTTCATTGACTTAATTCATCTCTCATTCACAAAATAGAAAAACTAACAGATCACGAGACTTTAATCAAAGCAGAGATCACTGACCACATGCTCATCATTTTAGTGCTCATAAACGCTCATTTGGATTTCCTAGTATCTAGCCAATAGATTTATTTCATTCTTTCAAACCTCTATACCCCATATTTCAATCAATATTTTAATAGGTTTAAAGCAATGTATTAAATCCTACTAACTTATACAGGAGTTACCAACTAAACATTATCCGCAAGACTGGTCTGATCGATCCTTTCCCACTGTACTGTTTTCCTCAACCCCTTTTTCACCTTGTTCTTTTTTCTCAGAACTGTCATTATCTCGGTGGTATAGTATCTCAACCCCCCAACACCCGATTGCCACCGTCAGCATAGTGAACCTTGGCCTACCCAGGGCGATCTTCTCGCTGTGATCTATCTTTCCATCTCTCCTACGGGGCGCTGTCACTCACGCGGAGATCGCGACATTGTCGCACGTCAGCCGTCGCTCAGAATCCGTTGGCCGGGTTTTTTTTATCTCCATTCAAGAAATACAGAGACATTATCTCCCAGCGATCTTGTCGCATCAACAGCCAGCCAGAGGAGAGCATGAAGAGCCTCACAGAACTGTCACTAACACCAGAGACCCCAACCAATTTAAGTTAGAATCAACATCATCATCATCATAATCGAGAGTGTGTGCGTGCGTGTGTGTGTGAGAGATCTGTGGGGATATGAGATATAGAGATTTAGCTGAGACGTTGATAAGAGATTTCCATTTTTCCTCAGATCAGTCTCAAAGCGAACGGCAACTGGGAAAGTTCCAAGGCGGCAAAGGAAGAAAAACAGAAGGAAAACCCAATTTATATTTTGGAAAAAAACAAACAAATTGATGAGAAAACTCTTCATATGTGTGCGTGTGTGTGTGTGTAAGGAAAGTGGAGCAAAAGTGAAAACCTTGAAAACGAAAAGCCACAAAGGAAAAAATTAACATCTACAAAATTCAATTAAAAGGAAAATAAAGTGCAAAAAAATGTATTAAAATTTAAAGAAAATATATTTAGTGAATATATAACGACTAAATGGAATTGTGTTATGAGATCTACTGAATATATATGATGCATTTCATATCGTATATGATTATATATAACAACAACAAGAACTTGGTTTAGTCGCGCCTTGATGATCACAAATTTCAATTGAATTTAATCAAAATCAAACAAGAAGCAAAGCACAAAAAAAGGCAAAGAAAAGAAAAGAAAAGAAAAAAAAATAAACATAAACTAGAGATTTAATTTTGAGTGAGCCCCCCCATATGTATTAGTGTACACAAGTATCTGTGTGTGTGTGTGTGTGTGTGTATCTTTGTGCATGTGTATTCTGTGACCGAGAAACTTAGTTCTGAGACAGCCTCCTCCGGCAATTTTCTTTTCTTTATTCGTTTTCCACTGTCTGTCGTCTGGCTGTCTGGCTGTCCGTTCATTGAAACGAACTTCAAAACTATCAGCCCAGCCGCCAGTGAGTGTGCGTGCGCCTTAGTATATGTATTAGTGAGTGGCTTAGTGTCTTAGTGTGTCGCCATGGGTAAAATGGTGAACGAAGAAATGGCCACAGAGCCGGTGTATTTGGAGAAAGTGGAACTCTCAAAGTTCGGCGAATTCTGCCAGAGACGTGGAATCAATCCGAATCTGATTATGCTCAAGATCACACTCTTTGTGATGTATGGCGGTGAGTACCCATAACTTTAAAGCCCCCTTTTCCCAGAAGTTCATTATCATTAAAAACCCATTAGAAATTGCCTGCATAAGTCCGCATTCACCACATTGGCTTCTTTTCTGGCTCTGGTCTGGCATTGAAGGGAAAACGTGATGGGAAATCAAGTTGTTTGACTTGCAGAGCCTTTTATGAGCTTCTTAGTCGGCGCCAGATAAGGTTAATAGGGCCCCGCCATCACTCATAACTCATACGACATGTTGTCCGAGTTGGGTGGAGAGTGGGCCATGAGCGAGGGCTTTAACTGATTGCGCGGTGCAAATAATTCATTTTCTGTTTCCTATTTATATTTTGTTGTTGATTTTTTAAACAATTTTCATTCTAGAACTGGGATTCAAGGGTGGATTATAATTTACACACACACACACATCCCCATTCCTCAGGAATATCTAAGTATCTCAAACGATGCAACAGCTGTACAAAGTCCGAGACTGAGATTTAAGCTCTGGCAGTGAATCTGAATTCATTATCACACTACGAGTACTCTGTACCCTCCCTCTTTATAGTAGATATACTCTCTGGTCTCTGGTCTCTGGTCGGTCTCTGGTCTCTGGTCGGAAGTTATCAATTAGGTTGGAGGGAAAATATGTAACACATTTGTATAAATTCAGTTAGAGAAATGAATGCACATTGAGGAGATTTTTCCCAGCGTGTGGCAATTAGGCATTCAATCAACAAACCCATCGCTCTGTAACTCTCCCTCTTTCTCTTTCTCTTATACTCTGTTTTTTCCTTCTCTATCGCTCTTTTGTCTCCATTAGATTGTGTGTATTTTTGTATCTTTTGTAAATAAATCTAGCTTATGTGATTTAAGCTTAAGAAAGGTTTACTTTGCCTCTGTCTCTCGGTTATGGGGTCTCTGTGTCTGTCGCTTCTCGTTTCTCGTCTCGTCTGTCCATCAACTGACTGACCGTGCGCCATTTTTGTTTTCTCTGGCGGTCAATGACAAAAACATTTTGCCATTTTCCCCTTCGGTAGTGCTGCCCCCCTGCCACCTCTGCTGTTGTCTTGTGCCATTAAACCCAAATTGTCACTAAAATGAGTATTAATGCGTTTTTTATTTGACTCGAGATTTGCCGAGGATTTTTCGGTTTGCTTCTCTTTTTTGGGCTTAACTTTTATTTACAAATGAAATTTTGTATAGTATATGATTTTAAGTTTTGGTCTAATAGAAATTATATATATTTTCCTTGAGGGAATGACATCATACGAGGGAAATGATACAAAGAGAGAGAGATTATATTTAGAATAATACTAAAGAAGTCATCAAAACTTCGAGAAATAATATCTCAGTAATAGAAAACAATTAATTTTATTCAAATTGGTTCAGGGTTTTACACTTTACAGGCGTTTTTGATCATTTCTAATAAAAAATGTACAATAGATGGGTGAAAGAATTCAATCGAAAATCTTTTCTCTGATAGATCAACCAGGAACATCAAATGATAAACTCCACAGGAAAACCAATTTCATCTGTGAACGAGTACCAATCTATTAATTAGCTACAGAATGCAGAACCTATAAAAATGGTTATTTAATTCATTTAATTGGTTATGTAAAGGAATTCGAGAGAAAATGGTTTTAATTATAAATTATGGTATAATTTTGCTTTTTCAGTATATTTTACAAGGCTTAAAATGGTTTTTTAAATATTTTCCATGTCAATGAACATTTTTCTTTTGTTCTGTTTCCTCTGTCCATCAATTAAGTGATGGGAAATATGGCATACAAATTAAATATAATTGAAGTAGTGTCGGGGAAACATGTGATTGAAGCCTTTGTTATGCAGAAATGATCAAACCGAAGACTTAAATATCTGTTAAATTAATTTATTATACTATTATTATACTTCCCCAGAATAATTTTTGAATAGGTTTTTAGAATTTTTCGAATATTAAAGACATCCAAATCATCAAAAAATCAACGAGAAGTTGATTTCGTTTAAATGGTCGTGGAAACGCTTAAAAGTGTTTCATTTCAGATCTAGCTCGTTGTAATTATCATTATAAATATTCCAGAAAAAGTAAGAGTATTGCCCTGAAACGCTGTGAACAGATACAAAATTTCGCGTAATATGAACATAAATAATTAACTTTAATTTGGCGCTGAAATATGTCTATTGTTTGTGATTGGTTTCCTTGTGTTGTCATTAAATCAGTGAAACAATTTTTTCCACATTTTTTTGTTTGCATATTCTTTTTTATGATATCCATGTGACTTTGTTTCTTGCACTTCCATTTTCCATTGTTTTTACTCAGAGCTTAACTTTGGTTTTTCCTTTATTTAGCATTATATTTCAATTAAGCTTTATAGTTCAATAGAACATAGGCCACCGAATGCCATTTTAGCTATTACCCCCGCCAAAAACTTTGTGCATAGTTAAAAATATACAAAAAATATGCGCGTTATGAATGCGAAAAATGATAAATGGAATACTGAATAATTATTATTAAAGTGGAAGGAAAGAACAGAACAGACAGAAATAAAGGGAATTTAAATGCACACAGCTGTGAGGAGGGGTAGGGTGTCGGGGTTTATGGCGACATTAATTACGAATGACAACGTGGCAGGAACAGATCCAACCGAATCGAACGGAATCAGTATGGCAACCTATACAGAGAATGAGAGGGAAAACAGGCACAGAACATCCACGAATGGCCGCCAAACCAAACAACCCTGACATGCTTGCGTTTCCGTTTCCGTTACAAAGAGAAAGACAGACAAAGAGAGAGAGACAGAGAGGAAAAACGAACAATTAATTGTTATTGCATTGAGCAAATACAAAAAAAGTACGCACACAAACAAAAAGACAGACATAAAGACAGAAGCCGAGCATATTATTGTTAATTATCTGAGGCGATGCAAGGCTGTAAAAACCAATTCGAGCCGCCATTTTCACTCCGACTCTCTGGAGGGGGAAAAGCCAGAGAAGTGAAAAGAAGAGAAAGAGGGACAAGAGAAGAAGGAAAGCCAAAATTCAGTATGATGAATATCAGATACCTCGTATACCCCGCATGAAAAGCTTTTTTTCTAAACAGATACAGTAGACGGAAATCTCTTGATCTATAATCTCAGGTACTTAAGGAAAAGAAAGTATGGGAATTTTCTACTTTTTCTACCTAAAATATCCTTCCTTCCTTCCTATCCTTCAAATGATCCTACGTAAATAATATCTAAAGCTCTTCCCTTTCCCTATTTCTGGCCCCCGCACTAATAAAACATATCCTTAAACTGCATGAGTACAGGGTATGCAAAGAAAGAGACTCAGGCGAGTGTTAACTGCACTTTAACAAACGAATTTCATTCACGGCACGCACTTTCCCCTCCACTCCACTCGCACACAGACACACACTCACACCATTTTACGTGGCCCGATGGCCGGATGGGGAGATCCTTGGCATGTTTGCATTTAAATTGGTCAAGGCTGAGGATGGCCAGATGGAACAGGAGGCGTGTACTATAGGGAGGAGCAGCATGGAACCAGGAGGCTGTCCTGTTCCATTTCGCCCAATTTGTTGCCATTATTTCACTCCATTTTTGGTCGCAGCCACGTGACGCTCTCTCTGTGCGTTAATGTTCATAAATTATTGAAATGCAAGAAGATTATCTGCTGTCCGTTTTCGGTTTCCACTCCGGGGACCGTGTTCGTGTTGGTCAGGCGTGACCATTTTCACGGATTTTAAAGGTGTTTGATGAGGTTTTTGGAGGGGAATTATATGAGAAATTACACAGGCAAATACTTTAAGTGTAACTGAGTCGATGATCCGGGGAGTTTCGTATACCAAAATGAGTAGGAAATATATGTGAAACGCTTTTAGAGCTGTATATTTAATATCAATGGACAGATACTTTTTTAATCCATCCATTTATCTGACTATTCAATTGTTCATTCTTCTATGCATTCACCATTCCATCACTTAATATTCAAAGTCTGGGATAATGAATAAAATTCCATTTCCATTTAATTAACTTCCTTTAAATGATTGCGAACACTTCTTACAAATTCCAATCATTTTCTTTGAATGATGAGCCATACTCTTTTTGCCATTCAATTTTCTGTATATAATTAAGTTTCCTCACCCTTTCTCAAGATTAATTTACAATATAATGTACCATTCTTTCTGGTTTCGATCCCACAGCCACCTCCTCGTTGCTGCCGTACCTGACAATACACATGCAATCGATTGGACTGACGGTGGAGGAGATTGCAATTATCTACCTGGCGCTGCCCTTCACCACCTTTCTTAGCCCGCCCATTACAGGTGAGTGAGTGCAATGCCAACTCGAGGCAGAGAGAGTGTCAAGGGTAAATGTTTTAATGCATCTTAATTAGCGTCATGCTGCGTATATTTTAATTAAAACTTTCCCTTTGTCTGACTACTTGCTGGGGCATGAAAACGAAAGCGCAAACACACAAAATCAAACAAAATACATTTTCAGCATGCATGACTGCGATATTTTTCAACGATTTAAAACTATTTAGTGTTAAATAAACATAAGTTTATTAATTAATAAGGCTAGCTGTCGAAAAAAAGGTGCAGTAGAAAACATGCAAATAAAGCCAGTGTTCAATTCAGTGCACCTATATTTGTAAATACATACTCAGATTTTTTTTAAATTTTGGTCCCGCCTAAAGACTCTGCTTGCTGCGTTATAACGTGTTATTGATTGATTGACTGGTTTTCTTAATCTTTTTCGAAATTAAAATCAACATTAAAATTTTGTAGAAATATAATAAATACAATAAATATAAAAATAATATAGATATATATCCCACTCCACTACGGGACCAACGACACCCTTTTGTTCCAATAATTACTAATTTCCAAGCAAAATTAAAGTTTTTTCGGGCTTGTATTAAATGATGTATTAAAGATGTATTAAAGATATACTATAGACTGATTACAAAAATCATATATTTATCAATATATCGAAGACTGGATATCGTTGCCATAGATGGATGATGGATCTGCGGTGGATGAAGCAGTTTTTATAAATCTCGCCTCCGTTTTTTCGATTCAATAAATTTTTTTTAATTTTAAATAAAAATTCTAATTTATACAATATGTCGTCCGCCAGCAAATATTTTTGAAAAATCATGTTCAACCCCCAACAGAACTGAATATCAGAGCGGATTAATTTTTGTTTTTTCCTTTGTGACACTTGTGTGACAGTTCTGTCCGTAGCCTACTTTTTTGGGGTTCGGCCTGTTTTCTGGACGAATGCGAATAATTTAATTCACTTGCAGTTTAAATGACAATTAAGCAAAGTTCTTTTTTACTCTTCTGTGGAGCACTGGTCTCTCGCTGTCTGGCTGTATGTGAAGTGCCCCCATCATGCGGTTGGGTACCGCTTTTATTTCCTCTTTGAATATGTATACGAATATATATTTTTTTATTCATTCTTATTATTTGCTTTTGCATTTTTAAAATGCATTTGCGGTATGGTATGTCGGCGACAGTGAAGTGAAGGTTTTTTAAACATTTTATGGGGACACTCGTTGCAGATAAATGTTGAGAGATATATATACACGCAAAAGCAAAGGCGGGTAGAGTCGATTGGGTGGTGCAGAAAAGTGCATAAAGCTGGTCAAATTGTCGGACATAAAAGCTGGCAAAAATGTAAGTGAAAATGCACTCATAAAGTTGGTTTATTAACATTTCGATCATTTAAGGCGAGTTATAAACATGGTTGATGTGGCTATATAATGACATTGAAAACTTCAAGTGGAAGAGCGTTAAAAATTTAGAGAATTTACATATTTTCGATATATATTTTTTAATTTGAAATACAAGCCAAGATTTAACATGTAATCCTTTAATTCATTTCAAATTGAAGCCCTAATTTAAGGCTCAACTATCGCTTGGTTTTCTACAAATGAAAAACTGAGATTTAATCCGCCACAAAACGACCAAAAATGGTTGCACCTTAATCCGTCCTTAATCTCCAGCTTGTGCTGCATTTAAGCTGTGAATGCAACCAATCAATGCTGCCAACCAAACGGCTGAATACTTTTTTTGAGCCACAGATATATACAGACACATACACTATACACTGAGATACATTCACACAGCTATGCTCAAACAAAGTTACAGCTGCAGAACATTTTGGTTGAGAAAACATGGCTTACACACATTTTCCTTTACGCTCTTTTCACTGCAGGTTTTCTCGTTGACAAATTTGGCAAATACAAGCCCGTTGTGGTGATGAGTCTGCTGCTGAATGCTATTTTCCATCACTCGCTGCTGTTCATTCCACAGCAGGAGATACCTGGCGTTGTGCCATCGGCATTCGTCTTAAGGCATCCAGATAGCGGTGACATTGAGGTAAGTTTTTCCCTACATATCCCGCTCGAATTGATATAAGATTTTAGTTGAAAATTGTCGATAAAGTCGATTAATGCAAATAAATCGATTGATAAATTCAGACCCTATAAATGTATACCTAAAAAAATCGGTGGAAGTAGATAATTAATAGTTCTTGAATTCCCATGAAATTTCGTAAATACTTGCTGCTTAAATCAATCTCCACAACTGACTTTGTCACAATTAAGTTGTGTGTTTCTCGCAGCTCTTAAGCCTCTTGAGGTCGTGATCTGCTAAAGGGCTGCGGCTGTGGTTAAGGGGCATGGGCCGAATACCTTTTGGGGCTTGTTTAGTTAAGAGCTAAAAATGATGTGGGCTGCGGTTGCAGCCAGCTCTGCAGTGCCGTTCCTCCCTCTCGTCTCCTCTCTCTTTTGTGGCCGTAATATTTAGTATTCCCTTGTGTCTTGAGAAGGGAAAGTTCCGGGCTGCATTATTCCCTTTTCCATGCCAAAGCAGCTGTTGCTCGTTGTACTTGGTGTATAGTTTTAATGCGCTTACTTGATGGTTACCACTCATTTCCCAGTCTTTAAAGGGAGCTCCTTCTCATTACTGTTCTCATCAGACTCCTGCTATTGAGAGTCTTAACCAGTCTCGTGCTAAAGTTAATTCGTTGAATGCAGGACCTTGATTAGTTGAGACTGTTAGAAGGGGTAGAAGTTACTTAAGTTGTTTGGTTATAGACTGTTGATGAATGATATATGCTTGAATATACGATTGTGTTTTTGGCAAGCTTCATTAAAAAGTTATTTGGTGTCATTTGGTGTTAACTTTGTGGGAAGTGAAGAAGTTAAGGGTCTCCACAGAGGACTTACAGACTTCTCATGCGTCTGAGATGGGGGATTCTTAGAAACTGCTTTGGTAAAACTTCAGTTTCTTCCACTTTTTGAAGTTCTTAGTGTTCCCTGCATCCACAAACCAAACGGTGGGGTAAAAAGTAAGGAAACACTATTGTTCTGACCACAAAATATAAACATCTTTAATTCTTTAAGATATTCTTCACATAAATCGATTCCCTAGAGAGCAGAGACATATTATTTAAATGAATTTCATGGATTGCTGCAAATTTCGTGGGGAAACGATTGCTCTGGCAGACAATTTCAATTGCAATTCTAAGAAGCATGTTGCCAAAACCCTTGCCACCGTCTTCGCCACTCTTTGAAGCTTCTGAAGCCCCTATGGCGAGCTCATCTGCCCCACTCTTCTCTCACCTCTTACAACGGGTCTCACTTCAGTCACGGCATGTCTCTATTTGAAGCCAAAGGGAACTGAGAAAAGAGGAGCAGAGTAAACTACATAAAAGCCGGCATTTATTTGAGGCAGTGCGGCGGCAGCATTATGCTGCCACATGCAACACACGCACACCAATGCTTTACGCACGTACAAACACTCCACCGACCGAGTGTCTGTGTGTTTGTGTGCGTATATATTTTGTGTATCTAATGCGTGGCACGGATGCCGCCGCGTAGTCGCGACTCTACGATGGGAGATACTCGGCGCAGAGAGGATGCAGCAACTTTCTGTAGATTTCTGTTCTCCCAGCATCGAGCCACATCCAGGCACACACACAAATGCACACAGAACACGCGGAGAGTGCGAGATACGAATATTACGTATACGCCTGTTGTACAAGTCGTTGCATCTGTGAGTGTTTTGAGTGGGTGTTCTGTGTGTGTGTGAATGTGAATGGGAGTGTTTGTGTCACCCCGTGAGTGCAGCATCCAACCAAACGCAATCCGTTTGCCATTTTTTTGTGTTCACTCTGCCATGGGTCGGGGTCGGGACTCTGGCTTCTATCTGCATTTGTGCATAAATTTGTGTCATGTAAAATCATCGAAATAAAGCAAATAACTGTCACACACCAAAGGGGAGTGTTCGGGAGGGCTCTGTGGTGTTCTGTAAGAAATTTGTTGTACAAGTATTTCTTGGGATTTCTCTGAGCGTTTTCTTTTTATTGATGTACACAAACACAAACACACATATGAGCAGTATTCCTATATATTTTTTATGCTTATGATCATATCAATGCAAACGATTCCGAGTCGGGTTGGCTGTTATTGCGGTCGGATGCGGCGTCCTCAGTGTCCTTGGTGTCCCTTGAGTTGGTCATATGTGGCATAACAAATGTCGAGCACTGTATTCTCATTGATATGGTCGACGCTTTATGCTTAGCAGGGGATTTTACTCCATGAAATATGCAGCCAGAGGCGAAGGTGTTGAACCACATCTATGGATACTCGTAGAGTGAAATTTAAGCCAAAAATAAAAGGAATGATATATACGACTAAATGATACCCGTTAAAATGCAATCAAAATTCCATAGAGAATCTTCCATTTCCTGTAATAGCTATGCGATTGAGATACATTTTGGAAAGATGGTTATGATGGGTAATCCTGCACAGAAAATACCCATCTATGCTTTATGGATTCACTACTTTCTTTCACTTGCACACCTCTACCAGAATGTTCCACTTTTACAGGCTATAAAATGTATGTAGAAGTGCCTTCTCAGTAATGCTCTCCACTGATCCACAGCCGTAGTGTGTCTCTTGAAATTGCATTCTTTATGACAGTCACACCTTTTGGCAATCGGCTCTTGAGCAACGCCAGCAAATTGCAGAAGCTGCAGCTCACAGAGAGTTTTACATAAATCGAATTATGGAGAGAGAGAGAGATGGGACGGGACAGGCCAGACAGGACAGATATCTGCATGGGATGGATATTATGCTAAAACGAAGGCAGAAGGGCACTTCGGGCTAAACAAATTCAAATGGAAAATGGAAAATGACAGAAGCAGGAGCCAACAGCAGCAGCAGCAGCAGTAGAACCAGAAGCCAGCAAGTAACACGGAACCGAGGCGGCTCTTGACAGCTAACAAGCAAACGGAACGCATTAGAAACAGCTCACCAGAACCAGAACCAGAACCAACTACAAGATACGTAGATACGTACATATCGTATATATGTATCTTGAAGAGGGCGGAGAAACTGTGGGATAGTTCGAGAGTTCTACAAGAATGCCAAAAAATCCACTTAAATGCGAGTGCACATCAGGTTTACATTGGGCGTGGGTGGGGAGGATAAGTCCTCTCTGTACACGAGTATCCAAGAGTGTCTTTCTGTCTGTACCTGGGAGTGTGTATGCGAGTGTCTATGGGAATAGGTATCTGTATCTGTATCTGTGAATGTCTAAGGGTCCCTCTGTATTTGTATGGGTTTCCCTGGGTCTATGCTTCTGCCTGAGAAGCATCTATGAGATTGTATGGTATCTGTGTGTTTGTATATCACGTACATTTATCTTTGTGTCGTTTTGCCCAGCACTTAAGCCACACTAAAACACCAACACCACTACGCACTCCACTCTCCCTCACACGCACACACACACACACAGACAAACACGTACATTAAAATCTTTCTTCTGAGCAGAGCATTCGAGCCATTCCCGTTAGCGCCATAATGAAACGCAATGGAACTGTTATTGAGGGAGATTGGTAGGGGCAGTGGTAGTGGCGGCCTGGCTGAGAGGCGTGGTTCCTGGTCTCTGGCCCTTGGCCAAAAAAGCCGGGGGCCCCAGCACTTGCTTCATTTCATGAAAGTATCTCTAGGATACGCACACACGCAATGGTCCACTCCACTACGAACATTCCGCATTTGGTACCCGGCACTTGGCACGGGCGTATATTGAATTTGTATTTATGATCTGCCCATAAAATACAATAACACCATTAAAATAGCTGCAACCAATGCGCCAGTTGTGCTGAAGAGAGATCTAGACGCATCTGGAATGCTCTAAAGGAAAGTTGAAGGAGGGAAGAGATTGTTTTGGCGATTATTGTAAAGATGTAGATTTTAGGAAGTATGGAAAGTATCTGGAATATACAAATGTTATATTAACCAAAAACTATTTGAAATAACAGAAATTTTAATCAGAAATGTATAATAAGGAAATAGTTTTGATATTTGTATGAATATTTCCGTTGAGAAAGATAGGTATTTAGGTACAATGTCCTTTGTATTAAGGAAAGATTTGTATAATAATAATACAGCTGAAATCAGAGTTATTTTAGCTGTCGATTATTTTGAAGCAAATCTAAAAAAGTAGTGCTCATACTTCCACAAGAAATAACTATTATATATTTCAATATATGATTCTGAAATTATTCCCAAAATATTCAAGAATTTATCCACAATCAGGCGCCTTAGTAGGCTATTATTTTGTTTTTCAATCACAGTAAGTGTCAGTAAATTTCGTATTTTCCTGGCAATATAATCCGCCAAGTGTGAGTACCTTTTCTATGCCCTTTCCTCGTTACCCATTACACATTTGGCCCACACCCACACCCACTACCCCGAATAGCATCCTTTAGCCCATCCTTTAACAGCCTGAAAACGCATCTTATGGCTACATTTGTGTTCATTCCGCACGTTCGGATGGACGTATACGTATACGTCTCCATCGCACAGCTCCGGCTCTGAACTACTCCTTGGCCGTCTGCCGTGTACAGTGTACGGTGTATGCCATGTCTCATGTCCAGGTCCTGTTGCTTGCGGTTTACTATTTTATGCCATTATAGCCCAGAGTTTGGTTTGCCGGTCGGCATAAATTTATTTGGTATCGAGAGGAGCAGCGAACGTCGAGTGGCGGCGTTGGCATCGGTGACGGCGACGGCGACGGCAAACGGAAATTACCATTTTATTATTGCAGGCACTGGTGCTGGGCTCGGTCATGGTCGATGCCCAACCCAACCCCAACTCTTGGGACCGCACTGGATGAGCCTTATTGAATTCGCATTAAAATTGGTAATGGATATATGCAGATACACGAACACAGCCTGCTGCTGCTGCAGATGCAGATACATAAAGAGCGAGTGGGCTGCCAATATGTATGTATATTTATTTGTGCCAGTGTTTGTATTACAATATTATAGCAGAGGGCTTAAGTTCATGTTTGGGGGCTTATGATAGGTTAAGTGCCAGTTTTGGTCTGGATTTTGGTGTCTGATTGAAGGGCGACTGAGTGGGCGTGTGATTTCGTGTGATTGGGGTATAATGCTGGGTTTAATTGTTGGGAATAATAGTCATATTATTATCGTCCGAGGACGACCCAGTATTACGACTATCACCACGAGCCGGAAAATCGTCTTCATCGTCTGTTATATCTTCCACGGTATATTGATTGGCTTCTTGTTTAGCTTTCTTATCAGGGTCTTCGTAGTCGATGAGCTCCCCAGCGACAAAGAAGAATTCGTCCAGCGTCTGGGTCCATATTTGCATATGCTTCTCAATGTTTTCGTTTTTGAGAATAGCTTCAGCTTTGATCAGTTCCGTCAGCTCTTGGCCCGACCACTTGGCGTAACTTCCCTTGGGACCAAAGTCATCGGACATATTTGACACATCGTAGACCACGTCCCGCAAAGCGACCAGGTATCGGCGACCCTTGTTGGTGCAATTGAATTCTTCAAGCAGCTTCTTAGTCAGAACGAGTCCACTCAACGGTTCCATCTGTATGGTGTGGCCCGCATCCCTGTAGTCCTGCTCGTCGTAGGTGTCCCTATTGGTGCGCGTCTGCTTGAAGACCAAATACGCCAGCACCACAGCAGCGGCTATGATGGTGTACACCGAGGTTGCTGCCTCACGGAACTGCTCGCTCCACAACTTATCTAACACAGACGACATTTTTTTCGTTTTACAGCAACTATTTTCCTTTCGGAAAAACTACCAGAATGTTTTATTGTTGAGTTTTGTTTAGACTGACGATTTCCCAGCACTGCCTTGTAACCGATGGAAATACTTTTGTGAAGATCGAAAAACAGCCTACTAAGCAATAGTTTTTTCTTGTTTTGTATGCCCCCCGAAAGTGTGTTTTGGTGTAGGGTTGTAGACTACTATTCTATCGGCTCTGTAATTTTTTCCTGCTAATATAATGTAACTCTGTTTTGCATAATTTGTATACCTAATTAAGTGGAAAATTTATAAAGAAATATACATATAAAACAAGAGGTGTACAGTCAGCTAATTTTGTTTGCAATCAATTATGTTAAAAATTCATATCGTTTATGAAAGCAAGAATGAAAGTAAGCGAAGAAAAAACAAACAGTAAGGTATTAAAAATGCGATAAAATGAAAACTTTTAGATGGATCTTGTGCGAGGCAAAAATTAAATTGTAGGCCTGAAAAAGCAGAAGAAGAATTTGCAAAAAAATCTATCTAATCGAAAAATCTATTTGCAAAAACTCGAATCCGCGATTTGGTAAATTGGCAGAGTTTCATTATTTGTAATTAATAAATAATTGAAAGAGTATTGTATGAACTTTAATTGGATGTTTCATTCGTGTCGATGCAATGGTTATTTGTGAAGATATATTGAGCCAATCTTTAAGTTTCGTTTCTTTTTCTATGGTATGGTCCCATTTTTAAATCTTAGTTATTTAGTGGCTTTAATTTCCGACAATAAAAGCTACTAAAGGTACACAGTGAAAACCAATAGTTTCAGTTCCAAGTCCGGACTCTGTCTCTGAATTCAGTTTTGGTCCCAGATATATGTTAAATTATATTAAACTATGTGTAAATTTCACAGTGGAGTTAAGTGCAGTTAATTAAATCTATTATAGTGCCGACAAATTCCAAGAACACTCACAACTATAAACAAGCATTTAGCCTTTCGTACCACATATCTATTATCTCCAATACATTCCTTTGTTTTTTGTTCTTTCATTTCAACCATCAGGTATGGTGGTCTCCCTGTCCAAGCAGAGAATGTCCGGAGGAGCCTGAGCTGGAATTGGCCGTGCATCAATGCGTTGACTATTGTTTGATGCAGGAGCAAGTTAATCCCCAGCTTTATACGAGTACGCCGGCGTATAATGTTTATCCAACAACAAAAACAACAAAAGCAGCAGCTAGGACATCAACCTCCACAGAGAGGATTACAACAACAACAAATGCCATGAGCACGACCAGCACGGGGTATGCCACAATGGAGTCAGAGACAGAGTCGGTCGCAACATCATCGTCCACAAGCACATCAACAACTACCACCACTACATCGCCGGCATCATCATTACCAGCATTATTCGCAACGCAAACGAGAAGCAGATACCAAGAAGTACTTAATATGTCATCGACCATGTTCCCGCCACTGGAGAATGCATCAGCCATGTCGTTGGTGGTGCAGCCAGGACCAGAAAAGGACCAGGAGGAGCAGCAGCCATCGTCAGCTGAATTGTCAGCCATGTCCATGCAGGGATTGAATTGTAAGTGACAAGATGAACCCTTCTTTGAATCTCCCCTCTCCTCTCCGACTGACCACAGGCATTATTATCATCGTAACTTGGTTCTGCTGGGTACTCCGTTGTTCTTCCTTTCAGTTAGCCTCTCCTCCTACTTCTCCAACCATTCATCGAAGCTCGTGTCCATGTCCATGTCCGTGTCCGTGTCCATGTCCGTGTCCATGTCCATGTCTATGTCCGTATCCTTGTTCATGCCACTATCCGTGTGTGTGTTTTACTTTTATTAGTTTGTTTTTCCCATCTTCTGTGCAATGGAAGCAGGAGGAGAGCACAAGTAGAACCAGGAATTGTGGATGGGTAGAAACTTGCACCATAAAAGCCAAAGACCGAGTCGACTCTCAATGAAAACTACGAGTAAAAAAAATATATAAGTATAATTCAACCTGTCCCACTCTGTTTGTGGATCGTGGGAGTGCAATGTGGTGCGGTGGTTGGGTCGGTTGGGTGGTTGGGTGGCTAGGTGATTGTCATTAAAGCCTGACGTTTTGTGTGGAGCCAAAGTTCACGGTGGCAAAACTTTTCTCCAATTCTGTAGAAAAAAACTTCACAAAAGGCGTTTTTATTTCATATTATTAAAAGTGTGTGACAATGGGAATGGTAGATGGCTAATGGAGGGGTAAAAATGCACACGAAAAAATCCAGTATGAGAGCTGATGTTAGCTTTTGTTGTATAAGAAAGAGATTTCTATTATTTTTGGAATATTATTTTTGGATAAAAGTTCTTTGTAAAAGAATGAAGAAAGGAATTCTTAAAAAATGAATAAGATCTATTCTTCTATTGATGATTGGATTTTACCAAAGACTATACTATTACCAAGATGTTGTATGGGGAAGCATAAAGCCCTACATGCCGAGGTTTTCACCAAAGTCTGGGTATATTGTTGTTGGATTTAGGGATCGACTTAGAGCCTCAGGTACTGACGACCAGATGAAGCCGTGTAGGCAGCTGGGCTGTCAGAGACAAAGGATAGTCCAAAAGCCCAAGAGACAATTGCATTGTCAGCATCAAACGAAAATTGAAATGGAAGTTATTCCTGATTGAAGACTCCTCTAAATCCATACATGTGTAGTACCTCGAAAACCTCCTAAATGTCTCCCATTATTTCAGTTTGTGTGCATTAGAAAATCATTTCCCTCTTGTTCCACAATCATAAGTCATACATCAGTTGCTCCTTCTATCTCTATTGTGCAGACAAAACACATTCAAAAACTTTGCTAATGTCCTGAACAGAAATCAAAATGTGAGAATTCCCAGCAAAAGGGACCCTTCCCCCGAAACAGACAAAAGTGCATAACTAACTAAACATGATGGCATTACGGGGGCCTGTACACTTGACACTTGGCACAATTGGAAATTGGTCATGCATGGCCAGGACGAGAGCCAGCAGAGGCAACAGAGACAGGCCCCGTACAGGACAGGGACAGTTTCGACCAAGTTTAGATCGCCTTGGGGGTGCAGAACAGCATACGAAAAGAGCCAAAGCAATTTTCCTGCCTGTCTGATTATGTGAAAAACTCACTCCCCTTCCCCTTCCCACACACTTTGACAGCTTCCACAGACAGTAGCAGCCAGCAGAAGGAGGAGGTTAAGAGCAGTAGCTGGGTCCACTCGGACAACGAGGATACCACCTATTTTATGCTGCAGATGCATCCCGACCTGGCAGAGCCCACCGAGCAGCTGGGCATGGAAATCGAGCAGGATGCCAATGAAACGGTCACCGACATCCTCCAGCGTTTCGGCAAGGAGCGCCTGGTCGTGGGCAACATCAATCTCACGGATATGGACGATCTGGATCTGCGTTGCGGCGGTCTCGTCCGACGTTCGAACATCTCCGAAATGGGACCCGAGGCCGTGCAGTGTATGATGCAGCGATGCACCTTCACCATGAATGCGCCAGAGATCTGTCCGCCGGACTACAAGGAGACGGATGAAACCATCTTTTGGATTTATTTCCTATTGAGGTTAGTTTTTGGAATTTAGAACATCGAGTGCCATAACGTTTTCTCTTTTCTCTATAGATTTTTGGCCACTACAATGCTGTCAGCGGGCGTGACCATAATGGATCCCATAGCCCTGACAATGATTGAGAAGTTTGGTGGAGATTTTGGACGCGAGCGTTTGTTCTCCAGCATTGGCATGGCCATATTTTCGCCGATAACGGGCATTATGATTGATTATTCGTCGCGGGGCCTGGGATATACCGACTATTCAGCGGCGTTCTATACGTACGATGTGCTCCTGGTGATATCGACCATGTCGGTGCTGATGATGCCGCTGGGCGAGAAACTGCCGGCCGATAATGTGTTTAGGGATTTGTGGAATCTATTAAAGATGCCCCACGTAATTGCCTTTATTACATTCCTGTTTGTTCTCGGCAACTTTTGGGGCTTCATCGAGAGCTTCCTCTTCCTGTATCTGAAGGAATTGGGGGCACCCAACTATCTGCTTGGTGAGTTCTCGTCGTCATTAGTGGTTACTTTTTGGTACTTTTTGTGTGTTTGGCACGAATTGGATTGAATTTTGGGTTTGAATCCATTTACAGGCATCACCATTACGGTGGGCACAGTGAGCAGTATCCCCTTCCTGTATGGGGCGGAGAAAATCACACGCATCTTTGGCCACGTTAATTTGATTATCATTGCTTTCTTCTCGCATGCCGCCCGCCTGGTTGGCTATTCGTTTATCGAGTGAGTGCCGAACGGCCGAACGGCCGGATCGATGTTTGCTTAATGCAATATCAAATTGAATTGCCTTCTTCTTCTTCTTCTTCTTCTTCATAGGAATGCCTGGTGGTGCTTCCCCTTCGAGGCCCTGGAGTCATTATCCTGCCATCTGATGTGGGTGGCAGCTGCCACATACTGCTCCATTCTGGCCCCAAAAAGTTTGCTGGCCACTCTCATCGGTGTCCTTGGCATGGCCCATTTCAGTCTGGGTGAGCTTCGTCGGCCATCTCTCCTTCTCTAATGAGGCACTTTCATTACATGTAATCACATTTTGTTTGTCCCGTTCGTACAGGTCGAGGCAGTGGCAGCTTCACTGGAGGCCTGCTCATTGGGCAGTTCGGCACTCGAGATGCCTTTCGGTATATGGGCCTGCTGGCCGTTGTCGGCGGCATTGCCTATGGCCTGCTCCATCTGATTTGGCTGCGTAAATTCGATCACACTACCGATGATTCGGAGGAGGAGGCCGAGGCCGTGGAGGCTGGCGAGACGGAGAAACTGACAGAGCCGGCTACCAAGGAGCAGGGCACTTCCATGTCCCTGGAACGTTTGAGTCTAATGATTAAGTACAATCAGATTGGCAGTTTGTCATCGTTGCCCAGGGGATCGAGGGTAAGTTTTCGGTGTCCAGGACTGCAGAGGCTCTTCATTTGGAGACTCTTTTGATTAGTTAGTTGGTATCCAAACGACTCGGGTGGGGAAAATATCGGTTTAATTCACAGTTCGATATGTTCTTTATCCGGTAGATATCTCGCATAAATACTTGCCACCTCAAGGACCTGTGGGCGATAGACAATTCAATATATTCAGCCATAATTTCTAATTAAAACCTCGTACTCCCCAGGCTGATATCCATGACCATTTGTCAGTGCGTCGCAGCAGCTACAATGTGGAGTCCTTGAGAGGCGTGCCCCGGCATGGCGTCATCGGCAGCAGTGCCTCCAAGGTGGATATTCTGCGTTCGGCACTCGAAATCAATCACAAGTCCTCGAACAACTCGATGCTGAGCAAGGCCGATAACAAGACGTCGAATCAATCACTGGGCCGCAACCGCGCCGACAGTGCCCCGAAATTGAATCACAGTAATCTGAAGAACATTTCCCAGCCCGCCCTGGAGGGTGTTGTGCTCGAGGTGAGTCCTCGCTCTCCCCTCAAATAGACCAAAATCTCTGCCTCTCCCCCGTGTGTATCTGTGTGTGAATCTCTATATTGGAAACGTATGAGTGTGTGGGTTGTATCTCGCTGATTGCTGTCAATTGTTTTGATTTCAGTTTTTGTCTGTTGGATTTTGCTCTGCTCCCTCGCCTGATTCTGGTTTGATTTTTAAATACCCAACATCTGTTGCCACAATAACTTTTTAGCATACGGCCGAGTGTCCTTTGTAGCTTCCTGTCTTTGGTTTTTGTGACTTGACAACCGGATGCCGGGGCTCAACTGCATCCGCTTTGGGGCCTTTGTTGTTCTGCTTCTCTCTGCTTCCCACTGCGACTGGGAGGCTCTTTTGGGATGTTGTTGTTTTGTGTGTGTTTGGCTTTCGGTTGCCTTCCTTGAATGGTCGTTTCTTTTGATGCCGCTCCAATGGATTCGATTTCTCGTTTCTGCCACTCCCACTCCCATTGCCACTGTGCTCCTGCTGTCTAGCTCGAATTGGAGTCGGCTTTATTGGTTTTTGTTTTCAACGCAAACATATGCGCCACTGGGGCGCCATTTTGCCAATTTAGTTGCCGAGCAGCACCCCAACAGAGAACTTTAAAAAATGCTCAACTTAGTTTCATTTTGGGAATTGAAAGAAGCTTAAAAGTTTGTTGTACTTTTAGCAGCTTTTTAGGGGGAAATTGTAACTCATTATTAATTTATATTTGTTCAAAATTAGGGAATCGTAGCAACAGAAGTACCTTATTGATCAAAGATTTCACGGGAAGTAGTACACAACTTTGGAACTATCAGAAAAGCTCGAAAGTAAACTCTGTTTTTGTCTTGTACTAATTGACATTTTTTCTTTTATTAACATTTAGTGGAATTTCTGCCAAAGTTTTGCTTTTTTACCTCTCTTCAGAACTCCGTTTCGAAGCAATTATATTCTTCGTCTGTTTTTTCTTTAGAGTTCCAACAAAATTTATTGCAGAAACTTAAATTGAAAATTTCAATCGAACAAACTATAAACAATTTCATCTGCCGTATCCTTTAATTAAAACTTTCCAATGATATATGTAATCCATACAATTGATTTTACTTGCCCTGAAGGAACCCAAGCCCATGTAGGGCTCTCGGCTCTCCTTCTACTCATATAGGACCACACTTACAGCCCTCTTGCCATTCATTTGAGGGCCATACTCATAATATAACTTTCTACCCGCTCTCTTTCTCTGCACTTACATATACTCGTACTATACGTGAGGCTTGTCAAAGTTAATATCATAATTAATTTTCAATGCTTTGAAGCGATGCTTTTATGGCAACCAGGCAACCATAATTCAATAAATCAAATGTGGTTGAGCGGCAAGAGCAAAGAAAAATAAACCAACAAATTAATGAATTTATGAACAAGACAAAGTTTTGCCTTTTGCTCACTTCGACTGCACAAAACAACCCCATCTGATGCGAGAACAGAGCCAACTGACAGTTTTGGCCATACACATCACTGAACAACCAAACAAAGCCAAAGTCAGAGCAAAAACCCAAAGCCAGAGTTCACTTTAGCTATTAAAAATAACGGGGGGAGACCGAGAAAGAGTTAGAGTTTGGAACCTCAGCAGGGAGTTCCTCTATCCGGAGTTGATAGAACCCGTCCGTCGCGTCGCTTGCAAATTGCAGGCCAGTAGTCCAGATCGCAAAACCCATTCCCAATCCGAAACCCGGAAGCCATACCCAGCCAAAACTTCGCTTTGTGCAAAATAAATTTGCCAAAAACCAGAGAGCAGAGAACTTCCTTTTTCAATATTCGTATGAGTGTATGAATTTGTGTGTGGGTGGGTGTGTGTGAATGAGTGCATCTCTATCTCTATATATATATATATGTACTTGTATATGGATAATATATGCTATAGCCAAAAATGCCATTCGCATACAAACAGGGCGTGGAATCAACATTTTTCCCCAGCCGCATGAAAAAGTATCCAAGTGGTTTGTTAACTTCAATACCCGCTGTGGATTTATCCGTAATACCCAGCTCCATGTTAATGGTAATGTACAAGAATCCAACAGAAACAAAAACATTCGAAAAAATATACTGAATAAAAACAAAAAACAAACGAAAAACTATGCATGGAATAACGAGTGCAGAAATACCCTTTATTTTTTGGCAGAAGGTGAAATGACTAGAATTTATATTATTATTTTTATTAGAAGGAAAGTAGATTTCGTGAGGCTTTCATTATAATAGCCCGAATTCAGTTCCGTTGATTTTTTGTTGTATACAATATTTCATGTAGTATTATTTTCCTTCTTGACTATTTGCCAACAATTTGACCTAATCGATATGATCTTTCTGCCAAAAAGAGTACTTCGACACACAAACATATGTAACTGCAAATGCATGGCGTGGCCTGGCATGTCCTTCTCCGTCCTGTCCTTCTCTGTCCTCTTCTGGGTTGTTCGGGGATGCATGCGCCCCAAAGTATGCAGCACTGAATACGAATAAACAGAGGAGCCAGCAGCAGAAGCAGTAGCAGCAGAACAGTGGCTGCTGCAACAGCACAAGAGGCAACATCGAGTGGCAGCAGCAGAACAGCATCATCCGCCAAGATATTGCCTCTCACTGGGGGGATGGAAGCATGCAATGGCATGTACAGTTCCCATTGCTGATGCTTTTGTTGGTTGCCTCTTTTTTTCTGCTGGTTTATGGGGGTTTTTGGGAGAACTTTTTTGGAGGAAAGAGGAGCACAAGGAGAGCGGTTCATGGGTCGCAGTTTGCCAAGCCATCCGGGCATTAAGTTATTTCGTTGAATTAAAGCCCGCACTTGCGCCATTTGACTTTTGGGCATCACTTGTTTTTATATGCATAACCCACAAAAACCCAACCCTCCATGCCACATGCCACATGGCCCTCATCGTCTCTGCATTCCTTCTCCTCTCATTACGCCCCTCTTTTCCATCTCTCACTCTCTCTGCTGCACGCTTAGTTGAGTTTAGTTTAATTTTGCACACTCGTCGAGCAATTTGAGCTCGCGCTCCTCACATCCCATCACATGGCGTTTAGCATTATATTTTCTTCTTTATGCGTATTTTATTTTTTAAAGATTTTTTTCCCACAGCTTTTTCTCTTTGGGTAGCTTGAATAATGTCCTTTTTTTGTACTCTCTGATTTTTGTTTAGGTTTTACGCCAAATGATTTGTTGTTGAACTTAATTCAAGTTGACAAAAAGGGAATAACAATGGCAGCTGTTGCAAAAAGCAACAATGTTTGGTTATCCATGAGTTTTCGAGGGTTGTATGGTTAGGGGGGGGATGGATAGCTAGATGGGTGGGTAAATGGCTGTGGGTTGGGTGGAGATGGGGATGGGGATGTGGATGGATGGGTGTAAAAGAAAAACATAGCCATAGAGTAAACAAACAAGGAAAAAGCATAGCAAAAGGCAACGTCTGTTCGAATGTGGCAAATGATTTCAAACTTTGAAATCTACAGTGAGGCAAGCTCGATTTGTTGGCTAATATTAAAAGTAAATGTGTTTAGGAGGGTGGATCAGTGCGAAAAAAATCGTGGTCACTCGCCCAGCGCTCTGAGAGAGTCGTATGAGCGAGCGTTTGCCACGAGCGTTAACAGCGTGCCGTTACACCGATCGGTAACAGCCTTTTAACTGAGAGAGTTCGCCTGCAGCGGTAACATACTGTTAACGTGGGCTGCTAAGAGGAACCTTTATTCGATCTGCTTCCCTGTACAGTAGATAAAAGACGGGAAATAATGAAGGATAAAATCGAAATTAGTCGACAAGAGTAGTTGTTCTTTTAAATTTGTACAATAACTACAAATGACAATATCCTAAATTTGAAAAAAATATTTAGAAACGTATTGTCTTTGTGCTCTTTTGTCTTTCTTTGCCCTCGAACCACAGTCCATAGCCTGCCATAGTACTAACAACAAGCATACCAATCGCATTCTCAATATTTTACTATTGCCAAGGCACGTACATATGTTTGTACGAAGGAATGAATGACTGAATGAGTGAAAGTATGTGCGAATAAATGTACATATGTATGAATGAATGAATGTATGTTTTTAGTTCCTTCTTCGATTTCCTGTTTGTTCTCCCTGCTTCTATGGCTTCTGCTTTCCAGTTAGAAAATATTTCCCACACACACACACAAGCACAGAAAAGCCCGCACACACAGCCACCCATATAGATTTCCATTGGCTCTATTTTTTGCTGGTATTATTTTTATTTCTTGGGCTATGAAAACGATTTATCGATGTGTAAGAGGAAGCGGTAGGAAAAAAGGGAGAAATATTTATAGGAATGATCACAAAATGAATGCCACGTAATGCGACGCTGTTGGCAACATTTGTCATTGTTGATTTTGGCCAGAAACGACTTTATATCCCAGCGTTCATACGCGTACATACATATATCGAGGCCAATAACTTCTTCAACATAACGCACAAAAAGTGAACGCGAAATTGCGCGTAAGTAATGCCCATTGTAAGTCCCGCTACGAGGGGAACGAGGAGATGGGGGCGTGAGCTTGAGAAGGCGATGGGGTGGGTGCTAGAGTCGAAGCAACAGAGGGAGCTGTAGGTGCAGAAAGCAAGAAAACAAAAAAAAGTGGAAGCCAAACAAAGAGAATGGAAACAAAAGCAGCACAAAATGAACTGGGGAGGAAAACATTATAGAAATTTCTGGTCCCTATTCTACAGAGAAAAGAGGGTGTATCCTTCGGCCATTCCCTCTCCACTCCCTTGCCCTTTTCCCCTCCCTTTCTCGCAACCACACACATGGCACTTAAGATGCGCATTTCTATGAAGAGTGGTATGTGTACGTACGTTTGTTGGAAAAACTTTTGTGCATTCAACTGCAAGGCCTGTACCCTCTCTTTTTCACCGGCAACCAGCATTTTAATAAAAAGCCAAACAACAAGAAAACAACGCCCGTTGCATTGCGAATTATCCAAAAAGTTTGATGACGTGGAAATGCCTTTCAACAATACACCAACAACCGAGCGAAAAAAAAAATACAACACCAACCGGCGATTTCGATGCAGTTCAGTCGTGCATATGCGAGGGTAACTCATCCGGAATGCTTATGAAATGCAGCAGAAATCGAGTGCTGGCAAGAAAAAAGAAAACATCGTTTGAGATTCTGGACAGGAAAAGCAGAATGCATCATTTTATATGTGTGGCAGGAATTAGGATACCCTGGAAACAGATGAAAGAATTTGGGCTTTGATAATATTTGAAAGGAACGGTATATACATAAGGGAATATATAGATAAGGGAATAAGCTCTGGCTTTAAGTGAAAAAACAGAAATCAGATATTATAGATTAGATAGAAATAACAGAAAAGAATGGACCACTTTCGACAGATAATTTTGAAACTTATTTACACAACAAGGATTCATCCTTCATTATATAAAACTTTAAAATGGAACCAAGAATTAATATCCCTTTTATCACTCTTCCAAATCACTTCTACCAAAATAACTTTTTGGAAGGACTCAACAACAAAAAAATACATATGATTACCGCCATCATAAAACACATTCACTTTGATATCTTTGCATACATATAATCAAACCCCCATCGAAACAACCACTCAACCAAGCCAAACCCAATGACTGCACTCTACTAAATATAATTTATTGGCCACTTAAACATTTCATGTTCAAACAGAAATAAGCATGCATGTTGATTATACTTTCCCGCATGTGCATGAAGGCCATTGAGAGCATAAGGGAAAAACTGAAATGAAGTTAATTGAGTAAATTGTAAATTGCACTCTACTGCGAGTACACCAGACCAACACGATTGCGTACAGATGTTTGGGATGCTGTTTTCTCTTCTTTTCTCTTCTCACTACCCTTGCAGAGGGTATTGGCATTAGCATCAAGAGCACCGACTAGATTTAGCCATGTCCGTCTGTACATCATTCTTTCCTAATCAGATTTCAAGCTGAATACCCTCAAGGGTATCTAAAGCGTCGGCTCTCAAAAGTAATCTTTCCTGTTTTTGTTTAGCTCATGTTTTTATTTTATGTGCAATTGGTTGGTTAGCTTTAAAGCTCGTTATGGAATTGGTTTTTGCATACATTCTACCTTTTTAATTGCTGAATGAATGTGTGCCAGAGTGGAAAAACGAAAATGTGTGTGGTTTGGTTGGAAGTACGCGTGTGTCAGCACACAAACTGCAGCCACTGTGCAGTACAAATATTTAGCATGACTTATTGTTGTATATGCGAATAGTTATTGCATGTGGCATGGCATAAGCATAGCACATACGTATTTTGATGTTAAAATGTCGCTCACTCACGTCTCTTTCGTTTCGCAGGACCAAGAGGGCCGCAAGGTCATTCCCGAGGAGACGGAGCTGCATACTTCCAAGACCACGGTGAGTCTGGGGGAGGCGGAAAAGGTGGAGCCACCACAGCAATCCAATGGCAATGGCAGTGGCAAGATCCCACAGGCAACGCAGCAGCAGCAACAGGAGCAGCAGGAGGATGACAAAACCGATGCCACTTGATGGTGCAAGCAAATCTCTAACCAGCCCAACGTGGCGTATGAGTGATATTAATAAACCAAAAGCGAAAGAAAAAACTAAAGCGAAATCCAATTTTAAAATTAAAATAAAACCAAAACTATTGTCTAGTTTTACTCGTGTGTGTTAATGTTATATAAATGTATATGTCTATATGAAATAAAAAATGTTGTTAGCGACAGAAAATATTGAATGAATTCAATGCTTCCCCCAATTAAAGCCATTTCGCTGGATTTTCCACGTTTATTTTGCTGATTTGCTTAAAAATTAAATTGTAATTGCCCCAAAACGCCAAGTGTTTTGCCATAATTTTTCTCTTTAAAAATTGTAGCAATTATATTTATATAATTTTCATATCTTTTTGCTTCTGTGAGTGTCTGTCTCCTTAGGCTAAGGCTTTTAATTAATTGTATTGTATTTGTATTTCATTTTTTGTTTGTTTTTTTTTTTCATTTTTTCGTTTGGTTTTGCCTCATTTTATCGTCATTAATTACTTAATATAGCATTTTAATTACAAACTCATTTTCCATAGCGCATTCCAAAAATTGCACAAATATGAGTGGCTCGCATTGGAAATTCCATTTAAATTTATTTCACTTATTTGGATAAATATTCATTCTATTTTTTGCTTGTATTTTTTCTTGTCTGTTTGATTTTAATCAATTATTGAGTGCAACTTTGTGCCATTCTCTTTGCCAATTTATTAGCATTAATATCCATATGCTAAGTAGACGCACACCCAACCCATAGACACACAATCATTTATGGAAATGACTTCGAAACGTATATTATTTATGCACAAAAAACATATTAACTTTTGTGGCAAACATTTTTAATTTATGCTAATTAATTTTCACTAACAACATTTGAGTGCTAATTCATATGCCAATGCAAATGCAAATGCAAATACCCAAAAACCAAATTCAGTTAGCCAGCAATAATCTCTGATATCTGCCCCGACTAAATTCAATTTATAACACTCACCTATCGCTGCACTTCCTGCCCCTCTGTACCCGCTGTCCGTGCTGTCGCCATCGCTAAACTCAATTTATTGGCATGGCAAAATTAATTAAAACTAAACTAAACAGCATTTCCTAAAATTAGTTGATATAATTTCAATATTTCGGACACATTCAAGAGGAAATTGATTTCTGCAGTACTTTTATTATTATCGTTTGGAGCATCATTTCCAATGCGGTTCTCAATGGAATGTCCATAATGCGGCTTTTGTTTTCGTTTTGATTATTATTTAACTAATTGAAAACATTTCAAAATGAAAATGCGGTGGAACACAGAGCCAAAATGGCTTTGCAGATGCCATAAAATTATATATTTGCCATTGCTGTTTTGTATTAGTGCCTTTCAACTTTTGTGATAATTATTTTAGAATATAATTAGTGCACCTTTTGGAAAATAAGCCAATTTCGAACAGTTCCAGTTTCACAAAAGGTTCTTCCTCTATTATGGACTGTAAAAAAACTAGGTTATTTTCCAAAACAAAAATCTTCAATTCCTACAATTTTCTCCCCAGAGTTTTTCCCTTTGAGCCAAAAAAATTGTTGTTCTCTTGGGTGTGTCCATTTGTCGCATAAGTCCATTCCTAAATATGAATTTGCATTGCAAATTTCCCTAGAATTTTCATGGCAACAATTAGCTAAGAGCATTCCATATCCTGTGTCTCTCCACTACTAGCCCAAAGGACAGCCATAAAATTATTCCACATGAGGAGAGCTCGACACACGAGTAAATTGAAGTTGAAACATGTCTGGGGTTCGCAAATAAATGTGCAAAATTTATATAATAGGCTAATGCAGATGGCAGCACAAATGGTGCAGGATTAATGCAGGGATATTAAACATTTACATAACTCAAGATTATCTGCAGAAACCCCAGTCTCCGCCTCGGCCTCCGCCATTTCCCCTACGGGGTTTTTGTTTCATAATCAAATATTATATTATCATTTTAGAGTCTGTATAGCTATGTCTGTGTGGCTGAGTGTCGTGTGTGTGTTTTGGGCCTGTGTGCGCTTGGCCAAAATAAACCTTGATTAACAAGTTTGCTAAGCCTATTTATGCCAGAGAGATACACGTATTAATCATAGATATTTGTGTTTGCATTAGTTTGGAATCATAATCATAAAGTCAATTATGCCACCACCTCCGCTCCGCTCCGCTTCGTTTCGTTTAGTTCACTTTTGGCATCGTTTACATAAGTTTAATTTAGTTTATTATTATCGAATACTGTTCAATATTTGGAATATTCAACGAGTAGCATCAAAGTTAATTACACACTCCTCCCCCGGCGAGCCCCACCCGCAAATAACCACTCAATCCGTGTGGCTCTGATCAGTGCGTGGCGTAAATTTTACTAACCATCCACCGTTCGCATCCAATTCTCACTGAATCAACGGCGAGTGCTGCGAGTTCTCGACGGTGTAGTACATGTCGTTCTCGAGGTTCATGGCCAGGTGCCGCTGGAAAGGTCGCTCTTGCAGCTGTCCACCTCCAGCAGCACCACAGTTGTTGCTGCCTCCAGTGGCACCACTGCCCAGCGAGGTCTGTGTCTGTGGATGGCTGGGCAAATGGCGCATTGAGTGCGTCGTCGCTCCAGTCAGGGATCCCCGCTGCGCTCCTCCGCTGGAAGGTCCTGCTGCACCGCCACCGCCACTACTGCTGCTGGTGCCGGGCTGGCCGGGGCCATTTGGACCCTTGCCACTCAGCCAATGTTTATTGAGCTTGCCCTGCATTTTGGGTCGCCGACTGAAGCCCAAAATGGGTATAAACGAGGTGGAACGTGTGGAGAATTTCCGATACGTCTGATTGACCTTGCAGTGACAAATGGTGACCTGAAATGCGAATGGAAAGGGTTTTCGGGTCTTAGTAAATGGTTATAGACGATTGGAATGTGGAATTGGTAATGGTTTAAGATGGAAAATTAAGTTGAAGGTAATATTTCATCTTTTTTTAAAATGGAAAGCTCTTAAAATGATGCTGATCTTACGATTTCTTTAACAAATTCAAGAAAGGCACGTAATATCTTAAAAGTAAGAAAAAGAATATGCCTCAAGCCAAAATGCCCTGAAGATGAAGTTCCCGAAAGCAAATCTTTTAAAGTTTTAACAACAAAATGCAAGACATTTCCATTTTCAGGCATCAATTTCTGTCTTTAAGAGCCGCCTGAACCTCGGAAGGGAATAACTTAATTTGAAGCAGAATTACAAGGGTTCTCGCTCGATAGGTATCCATTTCACTGGGTCGAAACCCATTTTAAAATGGAAGGCAACCTCCTTTGGGTTACTATAAATTGGCATAGAGTCGCCTCCAGTTGAAGTAACACACACATTGAGTGTGCGAGTCCCATCCAGGGCATACAACTGCATAAATTTGCATCTGCTTTAAGCTCGACTCGATTCGGGATTGAGAACTTTCGGGTTAAAGCCCTGCGACTCGACCGAGCAGTTTCCGTGGCTTTTCCATGTAGCTGCCGACATCGAAATGAATATGCAATGCCATTTCGCGCACTTTGCATAACCGCAAAGTACAATTTCCCCTGTTGGTCACGGGGACGGGACCTTGTACGGCCGTACTACACCCATCCCTCCAGAGCACTCTACCGATTCCGTGTGTCCGTGTGTGCCTGGGTGTGTGTTTTTTGGAGTGTTGAAACTTACCACAACGGCAACGATGAAAATGGCGGCTGCCAGAACTCCGGCCGCAAAATATGCATTATGCAATTCAATGGGACTCTTAAGCACAACCGATGAACCGAAAGTTTTGTCATTAAAATTTCTAGCGTTCGCATCGTCGACAATAAATTCACTGGAGCTAACGACAGTCTCGACCACAAACTCATCTGGAAAGCGGAAAAAGGAAAGCCAGAAACGGGGAAACAGTGAACAGGATAAAAAAAAAGTTAGATAGTAGCCACCAGGGGGAAACATATTTTGTGATGGGATGGCCTTAATCAAGTTAATGACTTTTCGGCCACGGCCACCGCCGACTTACCTTCGCACATGGTTCCGGTGTAGCCAGGACGACAGGCGCAGTAGAAACTTTCGCCGCTGGACCAACAAGTGCCGCCATGGGTGCAGGGATTCACTTGGCATTGCTGGAAGTACTGAGAATTATCATCGCAATGGTTAGGATCCTGTCTTATAAACGAGCAGCTGCCTGTCCAACCGCAACCCCCAGCCCCACTAACAATTACCAGGAGGCTGTTCTCCTCCACCTCTCCTGAGTGTGTGCCTGGCATGGAAAATGTAATTAATTTTGCTGGAGCCCCCGACTGGAAGCCACAATTTCTAGACCCACTCCCGCTGCCGACACCGCCCCCTTAATGACAGTGTTTTCTGGTCCTGATCCCTTCCCGCAGGAGTCTCGCGGTTAGTCAGAGTGTCCATCATTTTCACAAAGCTTTAATTATGGCGCCTTGACGCTTAATTTATGTACATTTTGTTAAGTTTTATTTTAGCACCACAAATTATCAAGTCCATTGAGCGTTTATTAAATTCTTTTCTTCCCCTCCCCAGCCCGCGCCACTTACTGGTAGTTCCACCATTGTTGGCCTTGTCAGTTTTCTGTGGAGAGTACCAGGCCAGGCCAGGCCAGGCCAGGCCTGTGCCCTTAACAAAGTTAACTTAATTTATGAACCAAGTGATGGTCGGGCGTCCTTCGGCTGGCTGGAGGATGTACTCAACTTTGATGTAAGAATGGGCTTAGGGTATCCCAAAACTTGCCCAAAACTAAATAAAATATCAATTTCAATTAAAAATCTTCTTGGGAGAATTTAAACAAACACAAACACAAACTATTCATTTTGTTAGGGGTAACACAATATCAAATGGAGAGTAGCCAAACGCAAACAAGCCAAAGCCGTAAATCAGTTTAAAAATGCACACAACAAACCGCAGGAAGAGCAATGAAAATTGGGGAAACACTACTACAAAAATGTATATGAAATTTTACAGCAGTTGGCTAACGAAATTGGCAACAATTACGTTGCAGCTGCAGCTGGTCAAAACCCACACACACATACACACATAGAGGAGGGATAGCAAGCAAGCCAACAATTTGTGGCTATTTGCTGGCCTTTTTCCATGCACATGGCTGCAGCAGCAGCACAGATACAGATACAGACAGGACACAGATAGACAACCGGGAAGAGGATGCCCAAACCCC